CGCTTGCACACTAACTGAAGTCTACAAACGGAAATGTTGAAAGCACGACATAAGAAGTCAAGATCAAAGAAGCGCAGACATAGAAAAAGCAAGGATAAAAAGCGATCTCGTTCTCGATCGCGATCCAGATCAAGGTCATTACGAAAAGATCGGAAGAGCAAGTCGAAACATCATAGGAAAGACAAGCATGGAAAGGTGATTCTTTTTTTCCTCGATAGGATTTTTAGAAGAGCATGATACATCTGAACGCTACTGTTTTAGTGTGTCTAGCTGAGCGTTAATAAGCGAGGTATAAAATGACTTTGCAATGGCTTTCACTCAAAACAGTTGAAATTCCAGCGCAGTCGCAGCAGGAGCAGGAGAAGATCGAGGAAGAAGAGATCAAGACATCATGATCAACAGTATGCACCAGAAAGACATCGAGAAATGACTGCCGCGGCAATGAATGAGGTGACATGATAAAGTTTAAGATCTAATTAGTCAAATGTTCCACCATAAGAAAGTCGGTTCATAAAGTACAGTACATGTTGAAGAAAGAAAAAGTATATCGAAGCTGATTGAACCAAAACTTATAAAAACTACGCTGGAGGATTATTGCATTTTTAACACCTGAAAGGGTTTAATTATAAAAACTACGTTGGAGGATCATTGCATTTTTATCACCTGGAAGGATTCAATTTTATTTTGCCTCAAATTGAATTAAGATCGAGCCTTTCATATTCGCTTAATGACCCATTCCCTCAAGATTAGTTGCATTCTGAAAGCTTTAGACGCGGAAACAGCGTGCGGCATGTCACACATTCTTCGACACTGTGCATCATTCTCAGCTGTGTACATCATGATCACCCGCAATGCGCGTAGTTACGGCGCATGCGTAGAGGGTTGGTCCCAGTGCCAATGGCGTTGTCCTGCCACGCCATGTTGATTTTGCGCCCGATAAAGCTTTCAGGTCGCCAGCTTGTTTGCAAAGAATCGGGGCATTAATCGGGAGAGTAAGCCAGATCAATGATTTTTATCATTAAAATCCTTATATTGATGGTGTCCCAACTTTGCCAAGCCGTCTGAGAAACCCCCGCATAACAGCAAGCCAAATGAGCAATTATATTCCGAGTAAAGTTCAAAGCGTTCCCCAAAAGCAACCCGTACGCTCTGAGAAGAGCAAAAGCTAGCGTTGAAAGAGTGACCCATATATGAATGCAAAGATCGCTACTAGGAAAAAGATTTTTTGGGTTGTTACGATCATAAGTTAAATGCTAAGAGGACGAAAAGGACGTTTTCTGGCAGAAGCTCAATGATCATATTAGACGGTAACACAAAACGAAATCCTTCTGCTTGGAGGGGACACTGTTGGATGCTGGAGCGAGTCCATTAAGGTCCCATCAGCCAAGTGCCACGGGATGATATGGGACATGCACGAAGAAAGCGAACGCGTTCTAAAGTTCGCTACAGCTTATAACTTGGTATTAATGGCCACTTACCACATCAAAAAAAAAACTCAAGTAGGGATTGAAGAATACGACGATTTCTGGACAATAATGCTTAGTTCAAGAATATATGAACTGCATAGTATCTTAGGTAAAGCTGCATATTTCAACACAACTCTACCTCTTGACAGTGCCAGTTGATGGTCGAAGGAGAAAATCATTGAAAACCTACAGCATCAAGTGGTGAAAATTGAAGGAAACACTACGACCAAATGTGCGCTAGTAGCAATTTTGCCACAGTCACAAGAAAGGCTAGAGCAATCATAGCCAGCTTTGAAAATCAATGTCAATGGCATGATATGTTCTAGGTTGTTCGCCGGGAAGACCAAGAGTTAATATAGAAACTGGTGGTGGAGTGATGAGTTGCAGGTAGCAATGGCGTAAATCGAAATTAAAAGAGGAGTTGTAAATGCCAAAAATACCAACAAGAAAAGCAAGAGCAAAGATTTGTGTGAAAAAAGCAAAGCAGACATAGAGGAACTTTATAGAGTTGGGAACCTGAGACGGAGAACAAGTATCAAATAGGATTTTATAACAGACAAAGCTCTTCCACTATACGGATGATAAGCTTGGAAGAATCTCAAGAAGAACGCAGGACTTTGCGGAGAGACAGTCATGTTCGAAAAGATAGCGTCGACAGGTTCCACTGATTGCAATTGCACCTCTAGGCGATCCCATAGAAAGGCCAGTGCCATTCTTCTCAAAAGAGGAAGTTTGGATTGCACGAAGGCAAAGAATAGTAAGCAACAGGTTTAGATGATATATCCAGCGAGCTCTGGAAAGATAGCGTGACGCTTCTTGGCTCTGGGTCTCTTCAGTCAACGACAGCCACCGCCTCTCCCTTATGCAGATGGTGGTTTTGATGGCAGTGAGCAGAAAAAAAAAACTTGAAGAAGGGATGCAGATGGAAGAACTACTGGAAACTGGAACTGCGCGGACTGAAGCTTAACACGAAAGAATTACATGGAGGTGGCATGGGAACATATGGATAAATGGTGAGCCAATCAAGAAAATGATGTTGTTCAAATACCTGGGAAGCTGCAGATTTGCGAAAGGAAGAATGAAAGACGAGCTGCCGGCCAGGATACATGAACATTGACGAGGAAGCTTGACAGGCATCCTCTGTGGCAAAACAAAAGCATATCGTTGCATCTCGAATCAACGATGTATTATACTGTGACGCGCAACGGTACTATAAGGTAGTGTATATTTACCGAGTACGCAGTAAGTAAAGAACAAGCTCGGTGTCATGATTAAGATGCTGTAGACCTTAGGACTCACAATGTGTAACATTGTAACGACATGTTAGATCGCGAAAAAAGTTTCTCCGACTGTTTGGAAAATGCAAAAGAGGCATTTGCTTGATATGAACATGTGGGGAGAGAGAAATTGCAACATGGCTCTCAATGGAAGTGTTGGGTAAAAGACCACGAGGAAGACTAAAAATGAGATGGATGACCAGATCAGAATGGAATTAAAAAGTTGGAATAGAAGAGCACTAAGCCTTCAATGATGTGAAATGGTTTAACTCAACAGCAGTTTTGTAAACGAAATGACTGCGAGGGAAAATATAATTATACAAACGTGCATTTGACGTAACAAACTGACATTATCAAAATGGCAATCAAAACAGCAGAAATTTCCTAAAGGAGGACCCACTATTTAGAAAAGCAAATCATTTCTAAAAAAAGTACCGGTTCTAGCAACTAAGCCAACTGCTGTGCCACTGTGCACCTCTTCATGGAGAGCATCATTCTAACATCCCCTGATAAAATTTAGAAGACACCAATTCATGAAGCCGTTATTTTTGCCCTTTGAAAATCACGCTGGATATCCCCTCACTATTTTACGGCAAAAATTGCGAATGTGTACTTAAGTTTGCGTAGATAATCTGCTATTACACTACTATGACGTTTTATTTTGGTAAGAGCGTTACTATAAATCGCGATTAGTCAGCGTGCAAAGATTCGTAATATGTGCTCTTAAGGGTTCAAAAAATTCTGGCATCGGCGCCTTAAAGAACTGTTTGAAGAGAAAGAGCATAAAAAAAGTTCTAGCAAAGCCAAAAAACACCAAGAACCTAGAACACTGATCTACTTTCAGAGGACCTTGTATGTCTATGAAGTTCATAACAATTAATCAAATTTAGAAATTTAATTTGTTATGACGCGCAAATGTGACAGCTCGCCAATGTTTGGGAAACTTGTAGACAATAAGAATTATTGGATGAAGGGCAGAGGAAAGGAGATGCAGCATTACCTTGAAATAATAAAAATGAATAAATTACCTACTAGTAGGGAAACAAGTAAGCGAACAGCGCTATTGAAAGTAGTATAAGTAAGATAGGAATTCACTTGTGAGGCAAGCAACGATCCTCCTGCAGCTTTCTATTATTTGGAGTAAGTCGAGTAAGATCCCCTAGGAACTCGCATATTTTGTCATATTAAGCGAGCCAGAAAGTCAAAAAATTGTGAAATGACTATGACAGTCTTTAGAATCTCGGCAATATTGTGCTTGTGAAAAATCGTCATAAAGACAAAAGCCCAGGCCCCGAGGCATTACAGCCCATGGCAGTGGCTACTACGACACGTAAGCACTATTTAGTAATGTTGTGTGATATCTTGTAAGTCTGAACCTGATCTTTTTAGCTTTGGATCAACCCCAAGCTGTTCCTATCGTGAGTCGGAGTACCCCATGACTATAAAACAAATTGTAAAAAATTGTTCAATTTCAGCCCACAACAGGCACAGAGACAACCACGCCCTCAGCTACTACTAGTCCAATGCCGAGCACTGTACCTGGACAAACGGGTCCTCAAGCAGTTCATCAACCACCTGATGTATCTTATGTGCCTCTATCACAAGTTACCACAACTCCATTACCTAGTATTGCTACTACATCCAACACAACAACACCCAGTGCAGCCAGTGGAACCACAGGGGTTACAACGTCTGCAACCATGACTCCTGCAACCACTACTACAGTAACTACGACGACCACTCCAGCTTCAGCGCTGCCAAGCGCAGGCGCAGTGGTTCCACGCCCTGAAAAGGATGAGATCACAAAGAAGGAGGCACCGGAAGGTAGCGTGACTACTGAAAAGAAGCTCAACAAAAGGTTGAGCAAACTGGTAAAATTTCAGAAAAACAACCTCATGACAAAATGCAAAAATGGAAGACATACATAGAAAAGACTTTAGAAGGGGGAGTAGAGCTGATGCTAGTAAGTTCTATTTTCCTTCATCAATAACTCCTTTTATAAATAAAGGCCAACGTCTGTATGAATCTATGCATCTATGTATGTATGTATGTATGTATGGATATATATATATATATATATATATACCAGTGCTTCACCTCTCCTTCGGAGAGGCTCGCACTGGCGCTTTGGAGAGCTAGGTTAAC